GGCAGGGGGTAGAAACCCCCCCAAAAAAATGGGGGACCTCTGGCAAACGGGGGGGGGGGTTGGCAACCCTAGGTGCAAAGGAAAACCCCTATGGGCGGACTGGAGAGCCAGGGGTCCAGCGCTGGGCAGACGCTCCCACGCTGCCTGACTGCTGCAGACGAGGTTGTTCTGCCATGCTGAACCCGTAATCGGAGTGGCTCTGCCCACTTCCCCCCAAACAGTCTCCTGTTCCCTCCCTTGCACCAGTGGCTTGCAGGCTGCATAAGAGCCCTTATGTTTGACACCCCTGCTCTAGAGTAATTTCACTTCTGGGTGTCCACCTGAACTAACAGCATGACATTGGCATGATTACTCTTCCCCCCCATTCCCCGCCCTCTCCCACTTGTTTCCTGCCAGTGGGACTCAGGCCACCATTATGTCGATGGGGCAGGCAGTCCTACCTTCCTGTTAGGTCACTTCCTCCCACCTAGGGTTGCCAGTGCTGGGGAAGGAGATTCTTGGAAATCTGGGCAGAGTTTGAACAGGGGAAGGAGGGAGCTCGGCAAGGACATGATGCCGTAATGCCCGACCTCTGAAGCTGCCATTTTCTCCAGGGGAGCTTATCAGTTAGTCATTCCAGGAGGATTCCAAAGATCACTGGGAGGTTTGCAACTGTGTTGTTGTTCAGTCGCACAGTCGAGCCTGACTCTTCGCGACCCCATGGACCAGATCACGCCAGGCCCTCCTGTCTTCCGCCGTCCTCTGAAGTTTGCTCAACTTCATGTTCGTTGCATCGATGACACTGTCTAACCATCTCATCCTTTGCCGTCCCCGTCTTCTTTGACCTTCAATCTTTCCCAGCATCAGGGTCATCTCCAGTGCAACTGTACTCCCGTCATAAATTCAGATCTTAAATTTAAATCCTCTGCCTCATATCACTTAACCTTAAAAAAAATCCTCTCAAAGATATATCTTCAGGTTTCTGTCAGTGTTAAGGGACTTGATTTGGACGCACACTGTTGATTTAACCGCCGATTTGACTCTTTCTGGTGGTTTTAATGTTTGCAGCTGTTAAAAGTAAAGGTTTCCCTTGCTCGAAAGCCAGTCGAATCTGACTCTAGGGTTGCGGGGCTCATCTCCGTTTCCAAGCCGAAGAGCCAGCGCTGTCCGAAGACGTTTCCGTAGTCATGTGGCCGGCATGACTAAACACCGAGGCACACGGAACGCTGTTACCTTCCCACCAAAGCGGTACCTGTTTATCTACTTGCAGTTTCTTGCTTTCGAACTGCTAGGTTGGCAGGAGCTGGAACTAGAGACGGGAGCTCACTCCGTCATGCGGCAACTCGGGTCTCGAACTGCTGAACTACCGACCTTCCACAGCCTGCAGTTCAGCGTCTTAACCACTTGAGCCACCGCAGCTCCTTGCAGCTGTTAGGCCACTAGTAATGTTTGGACTGCTGCTTTGGATTAATTTCTGTAACATTTCCCCTTTTTTTTAGCACTCTGACAGGAGCTGCCTTGAGTGCTATTTTAATGGTAGAAAGGAATTTTTAAAAAATTCTAAATAGCTAAAGCCATCCCCTAAAGACATTTCTACAAAGCAATGGACTCTACCTCTTTACTCAACGATGCAAAAGGCTGAAAAATGAGGGAGTGGGAGGGAGGGAGGGAGGAGCAAAGGTGACTTAAGCAACAATCCTGAGCGAGTCTACTCAGAAGTCAGTCTCATTCTACTCAATCACTTCCAGGAAAGTGATTAGGATTGCAGCCTTCATACCAAGCTGATCCCCAGGGTGCGTCAGATGCACAAATCCCCTCTCAGGGGAATGAACCTGTCTACTCGGAAGAAACACTTGCACGCCAGATCAGTGCGACACTTGGTTGTATTCAGATAGGATGAGAAATCGATTTCCACCAGAGGCACAAACATGGCTTGCTTTCGGGCTCACACAGAACTTCCTCCTTCTGCTGACTTGCCGGAATGGAATTGGAGACTTCTTGTCTGACTGAAGGTTCCCCAAGCCCACACATCTTTAAGTGCAAGTGGCTCAAGTGGCTCAAGTGGTTAAGATGCTGAACTGCAGGCTGTGGAAGGGCAGTAGTTCAGCAGTTCAAGACCCGGGTGCCGCAAGACGGGGTGAGCTCCTGTCTCTAGTTCCAGCTCCTGCCAACCTAGCAGTTCGAAAGCAAGAAATTGCAAGTAGATAAATAGGGACCACTTCGGTGGGAAGGTAACAGCGTTCCATGCACCTTGGTGTTTAGTCATGCCGGCCACATGTCCACGGAAATGTCTTCGGACAGCGCTGGCTCTTCGGCTTGGAAACGGAGATGAGCCCCGCAACCCTAGAGTCGGATTCGACTGGCTTTCGAGCAAGGGAACCTTTACCTTTACACCACAACAAGCATTTCTGTGCATACCCATCTCAGGCCCCGGTCACATGGAGCATTAGGCACGCTAGAGAGACGGAAGATAGATTTTCCGGGCGCGATCTCACCGCCACATCTGGGAAGCGTAGAGCTCCCGTGGCTCACCCAAGGCTTCACTTCGAAGATGCGCTGTAAAAAACTAGTACCTCCGAGGTACTAGTTTCCGGAAACGGCGGGGCAAGGGCAGGCGTCAGATCACGTTTCCGGTGGTAGCTCGTGGCATCCGGCGCCCGCCCATGTCCCGTCGCGAAAAGTTTTTTTTTGTCAAGTCTCCACGGGTGCGCACAAGCACCCAACGGCGCATGCGAACACTTGGGTTAAAAAATACAACACAACCCCCGCGGTGCCACTTCTTTGCCGCGCCGCGGGGGTGAGGTATGATCGGCACCTCCCCCCAACCACTGGACGTCGGCGGGATGTCGGGCGGGACGTTTGATCCAGCTGCCGCGTGGTAGTTTGCTCCGGGGCAAACAGCCAAGCCTCCCCCCCCCCAGCGATATCCAGCCCGTGTGACCGGGGCCTCAGACAAACTGAGATTTGTTGTAACATCAGAATGCAGCCATTGGGCTGGATCCCAAGAAAAAGCTTTTTTGCAAATGGAAGAGCAGTGATCATGCATGTTTCCCTTCCTTACTGCATCCCCATCCTATGGGTGTGTGGAGGGGGGGTTGTCAAGGGAGGAGTCCCAGGCAGTGTTCCCTCTAAGCTAAATTAGTGTGAGCTAGCTCACAGTTTTTTAGCCTCCGGCCCACACATTTTTGTATGGCTCCAGAGCAAACGAATGTATGCAGTAGCCAAATCGCTCGCTCTCAACTTTAATGCCAGTAGCTCACAAAGTAGAATCTTTGCTCACAGGGCTCCACAGCTTAGAGGGAACATTGGTCCCAGGTCCCCCCAGCATAGATTTTTCATGGATCAAAAGAAACCCTGCCCCTCTCTCTCTCTCATGCCAGTAGAAAAGTTGGCAGGATCCATCCCATCACACAGGTAACAACTCAGCCGCACTTCTGTGTCATGATGCGGCTAGGAACCATTCAGCCTTTGAAGGGTTTTGAAGCAGAGAGGCTCAAAAGAGGAAGTGGGTAGGGTTGCCAACCTCCAGGTGTGGCCTGGAGCTCTCCCAGAATTGCAACTAATCTCCAGACTACACAGGGCGGTTCCCCTGGAGAAAATGGCCACTTTGGAGGGTGGAGTGTGTGGCATACCCTGTGGGGGCCCCTCTCCCTATCACCCCCAGGCTCCGCACCCCAAATCTCCAGGGAATCCCCCAATCTGGAATTGGCAACCCTAGCACAGGTCAGTGATAAGTGGCAGGCAGCTTACTCACCGGCAGGCTTCACAAGGCGCGTCCTTATGCAACCGGAAGCCATACTGAAGATTGAGACAGCATTCCTCCTGGCTTAGCCCGTCTCCTAACAGCTCCACACAGGACCCGGAGGTGTCATCAAATATCTCATAGCACAGACTGGCCTCTACCCATGAAACAGAGAAGCAGCTGAAACATAGCTACAAGCAGGGAGATAGCCCCCCCCCCATACACCTGTGCATGTACACCTGCATACACACATGCATGCTCACAAGCTGATATTTATTTATTTGGAAAAATCTATGTGTCACTTTTTTCCAGAGACCTGCTTGAGGAGGCTTACAGCCAGACCCATAGCCACATGGGGGGCTGTCGAGGGCGACGCCCCACGAATATGCCCAGCCGTGGCTCAGGCTCCCATCGGCAAAAGGAAAAGAAAATAGAATTAAACTAGAAACAATAGAATCAAATTGGGAATGGCTTCCCCTATCCCTCCAAGCCCAGGTAGCTCAGCTTCCTCAGAAGACAGGAGAGAAAAGGCTACCAAAGGCTGTGGTCACATGAGCAATTTGCACCAATAACATTGAGGAACCTTTGTGGATTTAAAGTGCACAATCAGACAGCAACATCTGCCTTCTGCACCCCAGTCATGAGCATCCTGTTTTGCCCTGCTTTGGAAGCGGAGTAACCAGGCACCAGGGAAAGTCCGGTGTTTACAGATATCAGTGCTTTCACCCCACATTTCCAGATGTCTGAACTTCCCTGGTACGAGCTTAACCCAGTTGGGAAGTTGGATTGTTCTGTTCCATTTTCAAAGCTTTTTTAAAAAGTAAGTTAGCCATGTGCTTTCAGCTGTCCTCTGAGGCGAGGGGAGGGGGAGAGAAGGGCAGGCTGAGAAGCCTCCTTTGTCTTTTTTCATGCCGGTTCATCTGCCTACAGCTTTTCAGCACACAGGGTGGGGAAGGGGTTAATTGAACAGATGACTTTCTTCAGAGGGGGAGGCAGCCTCCTCCAGCTGTCAAAACAGAGCAGTGCTTTGAATAAGCGGTTATGCGCATATGCAAAAGACAAATGAAAAAAGGAGCCACCCAAACGGGACGATCGACTATGGGGGGAGCACGCAGTGAAGCCGGTTCAGGGTGGTGTTATTATGGTGTTATTACAGGCAGGGCCAGATCGTGCCAAGCCTCCAGTGTGACTGCAGCCCAGTTTAGCCAAGATAGATGCAGGTGGGTACGTAGCCATGTTGGTCTGAATCAGCAGAACGAGGGGTCATTTACTGCAGGAGCGCACAGGAGCGGAGCTCCAGCAGTAAAGAGCCCAAGGGGCGGGCACATGCAATAAGCCCCACCCCCTACTCCCAGCAGCCCTCAGTCAGAGCAAGAAGCAGCCAGGTAAGTTGCAGAGCTCCCCCCGGCCCCCTGGTCCAAAACAATCCAGTGGCACCTTTAAGACCAAGTTTTATTCAGGTACAAGCCCTCCCTCCTCTGCGAGGACAGATCTGCACGTCCCCCCCCCCATAGCTAGCCATCCAAAACAGTCCAGTGGAGCCTGAGCGGTGGGTGTTGCCTTCTGACACACTTCCGGTGATGTCAGGGGGTGTGGTGTATGCAAATGAGTTACGCCAATGAGTTATGCTAATGAGCTCCTGCACCTTTTCCCCTATGAAATGCCCCCTGAGCAGAACAAGGTTTGAGTCCAGTGGCACCTTTAATACCAGCAAAGTTTTATTCAAGTTATAAGCCTTCGTGTGCATGCACACTTCTGAAGAATTGTGAAGAAGTGTGCATGCACACGAAAGCTTCTGAAAAAGTGTGCGTGCCACGAAAGCTTATACCCAGCACTAAACTTTGTTGGTCTTAAAGGTGCCACTGGACTCAAACTTCATTAAGTTAGCCTTACACTAGCCAAGATAAATCATTCGGAAATACCAAAGGAAAACAGTAAAAAAAAGAGAGAGAGAGAGAGAAAGGACTAACAGACTCTGTTTAAACCACAGCTGGTGGATTAAAGCAAATTAACAGAATTATTTCAAATCTCCTCAGGATGGAGCTGCGTCCAGCCAGAACACCACCCAACCCAACCAGCACAAACTAAAACTAAGCTAAATATTAGCCTAAATATCAGGCTGCTTAAAAAAAAAAATGGGGGTGGGGGACAAAACAGAAAAGACTATGCTGAACATTAAACAATCTCCACAGAGAGCAAATCCGCAGGGCTGGAACGCTGCACCAGGAAAAGAGGTGAATGAGAAGAATTCTACCTCAGGATGACTTCATGGCTGCCATGACAACAGTGGGGCTCCCCCCCCCCCGTAAATAACTCGCCCTACTGATATTTTATTGCTGAGGAACCACAGTTGACTCTGTTGTCATGGGATGTTTTGGACCTACTAGCCTTCTAAGAGGCGGGGACCACTGAAGATGGCCTATCCACAGAGCCTGCCTTGACCTGGATGGCCCAGCCGGCTAGCCTGATCTCGTCAGATCTCGGAAGCTAAGCAGGGTCGGCCGTGGTCAGTATTTGGATGGGAGACCTCCAAGGAATACCAGGGTAGCTACGCAGAGGCAGGCCATGGCAAACCCACCTCTGAACGCCTCTTGCCCTGAAAACCCACAGGATTCAGCTGCGACTCAATGACAAAAAAAGAAGAAGAGTTGGTTTCGTACCCCGCCCTTCACTTCCCGAAGGAGTCTCAGAGCGGCTTACAATCACTTTCCCTTCCTCTCCCCGCAACAGACACCCTGGGAAATAGGTGGAGCTGAGAGAACTGTGAGAGAATGGTGACGGACCCAAGGTCGCCCAGCTTGCTTCATGTGGAGGAGTGGGGACTCAAACCCGGTTCTCCAGATGAGAGGCCGGGGTGGTCTTAACCACTACGCCAAACTGGCTCTCCGCAGAGACTACCAGATCCAAAATCCACAGAGACTACCAGATCCAAAGGACTTCCAAGGGGCCCCTTTGGAGTTATCAGCTGGCGTGACAAACTCTTGTTGGCCCCCGGAATAGGGAATTGACCCCAGGTGGTGGCGCACTTCTTTCTCCACTGCAAGCTCCCAGCTCAGTTCCCCAGATCTCCTGCACATCTGCACACCACCTCAGCACACCACTTTTTCTTATTCTGTTTATGCATCCGAATCACTTAGATCCCACCTTCCTCCCCGATGGGGACCCAAAGGGGCTTACATCATTCTCCTCTCCTTCATAATCCTCACAACAACCCTGTGAGGTAGGCAGAAAGTGTGTGACCTGCCCAGGGTCCCCCAACAGGCTTCCATGACTGTGCGGGGATTCAGTCCAGGGTCTCCCAGAACCTAGTACAACCACCAGCCCAAACTGACCCGGGGGGCTTTTTCTTGTGGGACTCCCGTCCTTGACGTCTGCCTAACATACAGAAGATTACAAGTAAGTAGGCAAGGACTTCCAGTGAAAAACAATAACAGTCATTCACTTAACACTGTGCCTAATTCTGACACAGCGTCACTCTCTCGCCTCATTAGAGAGATGGATGATGTGCCAGAATTAGTAGCTCCAGTGCTTATCTCCAGTGTTAAGTGAATGACTAACATACAGAAGAGTCATCAACAGGCAAAGTGTTCTGCTAGCTCTATCCCGTCAGTTCTTGGAAGCTAAGCAGGGTCGGCCTTGGCTAGAATTTGGATGGGTGACCTCCAAAGAATACCTGGGTTGTGACAGACAGTAGGGAAATGGCAGACCACCTCTGAAACGTCAAGAAGGAGGAGGAGGAGGAGTAGATTGGATTTACACCCCACCCTTCACTACCCGAAGGAGTCTCAGAGTGGCTTACAATCTCCTTTCCCTTCCCCTCCCCACAGCAGACACCCTGTGAAGTAGGTGGGGCTGAGAGAGCTCTTTCGAGAACTGCTCATGAGAGAAGAGAACAGCTCTGAAAGAACTTGTGGCTGACCCAAGGTCACACCAGCAGCTGCACATGAAGGGGTGGGGAACCAAACCCGGTTCTCGCAGATTAGAGTTTGCACTCCTAACCACTACACCAAACAAGGCTAGCTCGCCACCTAGTGGTGCATAACACCAAAAGAGCTAGAACTTTTGGCTGCCAGACAATCTTAGGATCTCCTGGCTATACTACACACAATGCCATACAATAATAATAACAACAATAATGCATTCCATGGAACACAATGTCTTAACAGCCAGCGTGGTGCAATGGTTAAAGTGTCGGACTAGCATCTGGGAGACCCAGATTCGAACCCCCACTTCACCATGAAAATTGTCTGGGTGACCTTGTGCCAGTCACACGCTCTGAGCCTAATCTACCTCACAGGGTTGTCGTGAGGATAAAACGGAGGACAAGGGAACAATCTAACCTGCTTTGGGTCCCCAAAGCGGAGAAAGCGGGATACAAATACAGGAACGTTTTTTAAAACAAATGGAAAAAGAGGTACCTGCAAAACCCCTCCCTGTCAGACAGCTATTGAGCGCACCACAGCCTTGCAAGGAAAACAAAAAATGGGTGACCTCCAAGGATAACCAGGGCCATGACACAGAGGCAGGGAACCCAATACAGCCTGTTACTAGGGCTGCCTCTTAAAAGTAACTTCTCCCACTCCCCTGCTTTTAGTTTCTACACCAAAAAAAAATCAAGTGACTTTCTCCAGGTCGCCTGTTAAACTAGTTGCCTGTTCGCTGCCCGCCTGGCAACGCTGCTGTCAAAAGCCCGGGAGGGAAATTCCTCTGTCTAGCCTGCTCTCCCTCCCTCCTGCCTCTTACCTGCAGGGGTCTCCAGGCCGCCCAGCCCCCAGGCCACCGCCAGCAGGAGGGGAACCCGATTCAGCCAGGGGAGCATCATGACTGCCCCTGGAAACAAAAACGAGGAAGTTTTAAGCAGCAGAGTGGGGAAGTCCCCAGGCCAGCCCTTCCTATAAGCCTCCAGCTGACTCAGCCCCCCCCCCAATAGCCTGGGACATCCCTCCCTCCCTCCTGGGGCACTTCCAGTTGAGACCCTGTAAGATGAGGAGGGAAGACTAGATTGTGCAACATCTGGAGGCTGGTCTGTAGCATCGAGCGGAGGAAACAGCTGTGCATGGCCTCTGTTTGAAGAGTGCACAACCCTCTCTAGCAGCCATTTGTGTGGGGGGAGGTGCAGGAACGGCGAACGCCCCAGCTGCCCGATGCCTGTGGTTGCCATCCTCCAGGTGGGGGCTGGAGATCTCCCAGAGTTACCACTGACCTCCGGACTACAGAGATCCGTTTCCCTGGACAGAGGTGGAGCCAGAGTATTCGTACAAGGCTGCACTCTTCACCCTAGCAGCAAAGAAAATCCACATCAAGTTGACTAAATCCCCTCCAGCTAAATAGCCAGGGCTACGTCCAAGTATTTAAGGTCCTTTTTAGTAACCTTACCCCAAACCTAATTTTTATCTTATATTATTTTAAGCAGTTTTATGCCAGACATATATATATATATTACTTCCCGTGTTTTAATGCAGATCCTATTCTGCATGTTATTGTATCGCATCGTATCGTATTGTATTTGTAACGGCTGTTTGAAGTACATAAAAAGGTAAAGGTTTCCTTGCTCGAAAGCCAGTCGAATCCAACTCTAGGGTTGCCGTTTCAAAGCCAAAGAGCCAGTGCTGTCTGAAGACGTTTCCGTGGTCATGTGGCCGGCATGACTAAACACCAAGGCGCACGGAACGCTGTTACCTTCCCACCGAAGAGGTACCTCTTTATCTACTTGCAATTTCTTACTTTCGAACTGCTAGGTTGGCAGGAGCTGGAACTAGAGACGGGAGCTCACTCCGTCATGCGGCACACTCTGGTCTTGAACTGCTGAACTACCGACCTTCCACAGCCTGCAGTTCAGCATCTTAACCACTTGAGCCACTGCCATTGAGCCATTGGCCATATGCAATAAATCGAACTGAACTTAACTTAACCGTTCCCCTGGAGAAAATGGTGGCTTTGGGGGATGGCCTCTATGGTATTATACCCAGCAGAGGTCTTGCCCCTCCCTTCCTGGGCTCTACCCCCAAATCTGCAGGAATTTGGCAACCCTAAAATCTGACCCTTGGTCAGTGTTGCACACTTGGGGATATGGAATGGTACGGTACACACTGATGAAGATCTGGGAGTCGGAAGCTAAGCAGGGCCAGTTTTTGGACGGAAAGACACCAAGGAAGGCTCTGCAGAGGAAGGTGATGTGGCAAACCACTAAGGTTGTAAGGTCTGGATTGGGAAATACCTGGAGATTTTGGGGAGCCTGGAGAGGGCGGGGTTTGGGGAGGGGAGGGGCCTCAGCAGGGTCTAATGCCATAGAGTCCACCCTCCAAAGCAGCTGTTTTTTTCCAGGGGAGGGCAGGAAGGGCTGCCTCATCTGGCAGCGGACAGCTTCAGAAGGGGTCCCGATCCCACCGCCAACACACAGTACAAGAAAGCAGGTGACAGTAGTTGCCGCGATAGGTCAGGGTTTGGCACTGGGCCACCCCAAGGCTCTTTGCCCAGGGACGCCAATTGTAACTAGAGCTTCATCCCTTTCCCTCCCTACTCAGCCAAGTGTTGCTTCATCCAGTCTCTTAAAAAACCCAGTCCAGCCAAAGCAAACATTCTTTGCACAGAGGTGCGATTTCCAGAGAAATGGCTCAGATTCCATTGCACTGCCAGTGAAGACAGGTCAGGAGGGTACCCACAAACCAGTATTACCTTTTAATCTTCCTCTTCCTCCTCCTCCCTCTCGCCTTTCTTTTGTCCTGCAGAAATGCAGGTGGATTCAGGCCGACAAGGGGCAGATTAACCCTCTACTTCTCAGCCGCTTGGCTTGACCATTCAGAGGTTGACCTCCAACTGAGCCAGTTTGGTGTAGTGGTTAAGTGTGCGGACTCTAATCTGGGAGAACCGGGTTCTATTCCCCACTCCTCCACTTGTAGCTGCTGGATGACCTTGGGCAAGCCCTAGTTCTGTCACAGCTGTTCTCTCGCAAGCAGTTCTGGAAAGACCCCTTTGGGTAGTGAAGGGCGGGGTACAAATCCAATCTCTTCTTCTTCTCTACCAGTCTGTGGACTCTTTGGGGTTTAAAGTGTCACCACAGTTCTGCGGTTTGGAGAAGTGAAAGCCTTTTTCCGTCTTGCGCAATGGCTTCTGGGGGGAATGGCCGCCAGGATCCTGATCTAAGTTAAGAAACAAGAGTCGGCTCCTCCGGCGTCAGCACCTCGAGCATCAGTTCCCAGCAACTGCACAACAAAAGTTCTTCTTGCGAATTCTCCTTCTTAAGAATGACAGCAGAGTGGGGAGAGGCTCCGGCTAAGGAAAGGGGACCTGCAGAATGAGGAAGATGGCAAAGGCTCAAAGGTGGAGAAACCTGCTGTGCAAATCTCACACACCCACACCCTGCCTGCCCCCAAAGCCGGAAACGGATGGACTCTCCCTTGATCAAAGCAAGCAGAGGGTGGGAAAAGGCCTCTCTGCTCTGCTCCAAAAGGGGGGCAGCTTTTGGGAAGAACACCAAAAACGAAAGAAATGCAGAAAGGGAGGTTCTGTCAAGGGGGTGGGGGGGGGATGACAGCAGAACTGAGAACCCTTCCTTCAGTTTTTTGAGTTAGAGGAGCCAAGAAGAAAGGACCAAAGTGCCAGGGAGTTGCCAACCTCCGGGGGGGCCTGGAGATCTCCCGGGACTCCAGAGATCAGTTCCAGTGGAGGAAACGGCTGCTTTGGAGGGTGGACTTTATGGTACTCTGCTGCTGAGGTCCCTCTCCCATCCAAAGTCTCTCTCCCCATAAACCACTCAGAATTTCATTGGTAGCCTTCAACGCCAGGTTGCAAGCTGGCCAGGGAATCGCATAGTGAGGTCACGGCAGAAGTGAGATTCAAACTAGGCATTGCCTGATGCATGGCTCAGTTTGGAAGAGGAGGAGGAGATTTATACCCCGCCCTTCACTCAGAGTCTCAGAGCCTCAGAGCGGCTTACAATCGCTTTCCCTTCCTCTCCCCACAACAGACACCCTGTGAGGTAGGCGAGGCTGAGAGAACTTGTGACTGGCCCGAGGTCAACCAGCTGGCTGCATGCGGAGGTGTGGGGAATCGAACCCAGTTCTGCAGATTGGAGTTTGCCGCTCGTAATCATAACACCAAATGGGCTTATTTATTAATTAGAATATTTTTAAAATTCATCTATTTGGCTATTTTTATCCCGTTTTTCTCCTGCAGAACAAGATCCAAAGTGGCTTGCAAAGACACAACTAATCAAGTGACTTTCTCCAGGTCGCCTGTAAACTGGTTGCCTGTTCACTGCCTGCCTGGCACCGCTGCTGTCAAAAGCCCGGGAGGGAAACTCCTCTGTCTAGCCTGCTCTCCCTCTCTCCTGCCCCTTACCTGCAGGGGTCTCCAGGCCGCCCAGCCCCCAGGCCACCGCCAGCAGGAGGGGAACCCGATTCAGCCAGGAGAGCATCATGACTGCCCCTGGAAACAAAAACGAGGAAGTTTTAAGCAGCAGAGTGGGGAAGTCCCCAGGCCAGCCCTTCCTATAAGCCTCCAGCTGACTCAGCCCCCCCCCCAATAGCCTGGGACATCCCTCCCTCCCTCCCTCCCTCCTGGGGCACTCCCAGTTGAGACCCTGTAAGATGAGGAGGGAAGACTAGATTGTGCAACATCTGGAGGCTGGTCTGTAGCATCGAGCGGAGGAAACAGCTGTGCATGGCCTCTGAGGAGTGCACAACCCTCTAGCAGCCATTAGTGTGTGTGGGGGTGCAGGAACGGCGAACGCCCCAGCTGCCCGATGCCTGTTGTTGCCAACCTCCAGGTGGGGGCTGGAGATCTCCCAGAGTTACCACTGATCTCCGGACTACAGAGATCCGTTCCCCTGAACAGAAGTGGAGCCAGAGTATTCGTACAAGGTTGCACTCTGCCCTAGCAGCAAAGAAAATCCACATCAAGTTGACTAAATCCCCTCCAGCTAAATAGCCAGGGCTACGTCAAAGTATTTAAGGTCGTTTTTAGTAAACTTACCCTAAACCTTATTTTATTTTGTATGTTCTAATTTTTAGCTTATATTATTTTAAGCAGTTTTATGCCAGACATACATATTTTTACTTCCCGTGTGTTAATGCAGATCCCATTCTGCATTTTATAATGTATTGTATTGTATTGTATTGTATTGTATTTGTAATGGCCATTGGCCATATGCAATAAATTGAACTGAACTGAACAGCTCCCCTGGAGAAAATGGTGGCTTTGGGGGATGGCCTCTATGGGATTATAACCAGCGGAGGTCTTGTCCCTCCCTGAAGCCTGCCCTTCCTGGGTTCTACCCCCAAATCTGCAGGAATTTGGCAACCCTAAAATCTGACCCTTGGTCAGTGTTGCATACTTGGGGATGTGGAATGGTATGGTACACCCTGATGGAGATCTGGGAGTCGGAAGCTAAGGAGGGCCAGTTCTTGGACAGGAAAACACCAAGGAAGGCTCTGCAGAGGAAGGCGATATGGCAAACCACTAAGGTTGTTTGGGTCGGGAGATACTGGGAGATTTTGGGGGTGGAGCCTGGAGAGGACGGGGTTTGGGGAGGGGAGGGACCTCAGCAGGGTCTAATGCCATAGAGTCCACCCTCCAAAGTAGCCGTTTTTTTCCAGGGGAGGGCGGGGTACAAATGAGATTAATAAATGAATCTTGGTCATCTGCAGGACAATTGTTATAGTGGGAAATCGCCAGGCGCCACTTGGAGTCATTCACTTAACAGTGAAGATAAGATGCTGTTTCTCTGCCAGGCCATTCTTAAAGGTAAACACTCTCAGAGCCAGTTTGGTGTAGTGGTTAAGTGCACGGACTCTAATCTGGGAGAACCGGGTTTGATTCCCCACTCCTCCACATGCACCTGGCTGGATGACCTTGGGCAAGACATAGTTCTGATAAGAACTGTTCTTGAAAAAGAGCAGTTTCTGTCAGAGCTCTCTCATCCCCACCTGCCTCACAGGGTGTCTGTTGTGGGGAGGGGAAGGGAAAGGCGTTTGTAAGCCGCTCTGAGACTCCTTTGGGTAGTGGGCGGGGTATAAATCCAATCTCCTCCTCCTCCTCCTCCTCTTCTTCTTCTTCGTCTTCTTATCCTTCTCTTCCTCCTCCTCCTCCTCAGTTTGGCCGTCTGACTCCTTCTGCTTCCAAACAAAATATCAACACAAGGTTCTTGCTGGTTGATATATTTATAGTCCAAAATACAATAAAAGCAGTGGAAGATGTACTGGCTATACAAACGTTTCGAGA